AAAATGAATACAGTTCAACAAATATCACCTCTTCATGTTGTTGAACAAAATTCAAAACCTAGTCATACTTGGTTATCCGAAAAAGCGAGTGATGGTAAATATATTATTTGTTACAAACTAAACAATAAATTTTATTATATTTTTACGTATGCACCTTTTTTAAGATAATGATTCAAATGCTTCACCAAAAGGAAATGTTAATTTGAGTGATTCAGCACAACTTAAGAATTCCGGCTTCGTGACATTTGATTGTGAAGAAGAACGCTGCACAAAACAATTTATGAGACTTGGTAATTTAACGATACATATGACAACAGGCAAACATGATATTGAACAGGAAAAATATTCATTATTAGACAAATCAAAATTATTGTATAAACAAAAATTAGAAAATGTTACATTGCAAGCTATTCCGAATTTACAAAATTTCAAAGTAATCCGATCAGCAACAAATAAACAACATCAACCATTAACGTGCGGCTGGGCCTTGATGGCAAAAAAATCAAACGTACAATTTTCGCAGCAGCAAAAGGATTTTTTAACTCAAAAATATGATGAAAGTGAAACAACTGGAATGAAATCTGATCCAGTATCCGTCGCACAAGAAATGCAAATATTATGGGATAATAACGGTGATTATGTGTTTGATCGAGAACAATGGCTGACATCTCAACAAATAAAATCTTTTTGGTCACGTTTAACAAGAAACCGGCGCAAATCCAGTAAACAACAAACAACAGTACAAAAACAAGAAGATGATGATGAAGAGGATGACCGTGATGATGAAAATGATAATGATTATAACTCGTTTCAACTAAGGCAACAAGCAAAAACACTGCTTTCAGCAAAAGAACAACAGCAACAGGGACAACAAACATCATCTTCATTCAATACTCGTAAAGCTAAAACTGAAAATCGTTTCTCACAAGATCTTACTAATCAACAACAACAACCATCAAAACGTTTGTCAAAAAAATAAAATAATTTTTCAGAAAATAATTACGTCTCAAAGAATAAAGAGCTTTTCGTTTTGTTCTCAATCAACACGAATTTTATAACAAGCACTATAATCTAGGCCAAGAACAGAATCTTTGGAGGAAAGATAGTAGTAAAATAAGTCTAGTATTAGAACAGATGGCTCCACAGAGCTCGTTGACGTCTCATTTTATAGAGAAATCTTTGCTCTACATTTCTGATGCCTCAAAAGAAATTTTATCCATTCATATCTTTGTGATTTGTATCAAAATTTAGAAAAGTAACAAAAGGATGAAACCTATACCTATCCCTAGTATTTGATTTAAAAGTACATCATGCTCGTGTTTTAAAATGTTCTATTATATATGAACTGATGCAGAATTGTCTGCTCTACAAAATAAAGCAAGATTTATTTTGGGACTGCCATATGCGTGGTCTTTGTTTAAAAAATACTGAAGAAAATGCATATTTTAAAATATGAAATGTTTTAGTTTTCTATTATTTAGTCCTAGATAGTTAAACATATTATTATGTCTAAATACATAATCTTATAGAGTAAACATCACTCTTTCGAATGAGCCATGAACCAGTCATAGGAGTTTCATAACTTTTGAGAACATCAAAAAATACAAAGATTAGTGAAAATTCACGTTTTTCCGATCAATCGGTGACATCCAACAGAATGTTTTATCTCTAGTCTCGTAACAACATACTTTCAGCAAAAGTTATTGCAGGGTTAGTAGTCATTTTGAATGCTGTTTCGACTGACACGAAAAATAATTAAAAAAGAAAGTTTGCTGGCGGACGGCCTCTTAGCACGTAGTTCGGTTTTCTGGCGAAGGCCATCTTAAGATGTGCCGCTGGTAGACATGATGAAGATATCTAATCGGATTAAAAAATTTTGGTATAAATGAATAGTGGGCTATTCTAAAATGATTGATTTCTAATATTTTACGAAGTGTTATTTCATTTTAGGCGTTTTAATGATTTAAAAGCTTAGTTTAATGCTTCATTTAAATAAAGTTATTACTGGTATATGTTTTAACCCTTCGTCTGTGTCGTGGGATCCAAGCAGACCCATTCTACAGTTTTTGATGCGCTACTTCCTTTAGATTTAATGTTTCGGGGTATTCCTTTGGTGTAATCTCTAGTCTAGTGTTGGTGGTTAATATCATAAACATAACTCATATATAGTGCTAAAATAGAGAAAACTAGTCTATGGGTCCATGTGTACCCCACGACAGCGACGATGTTATATGCATCATTCTTTATCTTGGTAAAGCTGCCATATTTTGTATTCCAATGATCTTTACGAATAGATTCATTTTGGTTGGTTCGTATGTTGATTAATGAGCAAAAGATTCACATCTTCGTTTTACGATGCGCATTTAATGGTTTTTTTATTAGCCATGACGAGTGTCCTCGCTACTGTTTCTTTTTCTTCCTCTGAACCACATCATTTTTAGAGACATTCCTTCTTTTCACTCCGTTCACTTTGTGTCTTGTACCTCTTTGCTTCATGTCTTGTTTTCGTAAAAGAATGTTATCATCGATACCATTCTTCCTCTCTTTTTCTTTTTCATATATATATATATATGGAGTGTGTGTGTGTGTTTGATTCAGTAGTGCTGTCAGTTCCTTTTTTCACATACATCCGTGATAGTGCAGTCTCTCTCCTTCTGCAGGCTTGGTCTTAATTCGTTTTCACAGAGATACTTTTCTAACCAGTAACGCACTCTCATCCGATGTTTCGATCACATATTCGAAGTAGCCGATCTTGTGAAATTATTGTTGAGAACTTATAATCAGCAGAAATGAAATTCATGACTCTTCTACTTTTAGATCATGAATACAACTTACAGATCGAATTTAAAACGAATTCAAGGAATTATGTTGACGGATGATAACGAAACACTTGATAATTTTATCGATAGTCAAGATTCGGATTCGAATAATGATTATGATTATGTTGCTAGTGAATCGGATGACATATCTACTGATGAACATGTTTCAGAAGAAT